AGTTACGCCCCTTTTATAATGTACACCATTTGTAACGAAAAATCGAAACCAAAAGTGGGGAAAAAACGGTAAGCCAAAACTGTTAAAAGTCTGTTTATTATACGTACATGTAGCCATTGGATGATTATACAATAGTAATATCATACGATTTAACTTAATTTAGACACTTTATGATGACATAACACCGTGCATTCATCTTTGATAAAGGTAATATTTAGCCGTATTGCTAGACTGGTGTTTGGACTTTACACCTCCTGGACGTTTCGGCCCTGGACGTTTCACCCTGAAAACACTGGTATTTTCGACACCTTTTTTAAATTTGATAAATATATGAAATAAATACCATTATGGGTTATAATATTAAATATAATATACCACATACTTGCAAGCAATTACATTCATGTTATAAAGAAGATTTTTTGTCATAAATATAGTGAAATTTCCCTTGGAAAATAATTATAAATATGATATATTATATGAGTTCTGAAAAAATTATCAGCTATAAGTCTACATGTATATATTTATTCTTTTTTTTTTGTTATCCAAAAATTAAAAATACCATAACAGATAATGATAAGAACAATTAGAAGTGTGAAAGAATTTTGAATAAAGCATTATAAACACAGGTTAATTAATTACTAAATTAGCACCTTTAGAAGTGTGTAACTTAGAGTTCACTGTAATAAAATTTGTGAAAATTTAATTGATTTGTGAGATCAAAGTACCTAAACTATTGCGTGCTTTTTCAAATTGTGAATTTTAGTGAAAAGAGTTGACATTCCCAAATAGTCACTTCAGTGAAAACAGTGAAAAAACAAATGTTGCTAGTTCTGGCTTCCATAACTTTATATGTCGCTTTTATTTTGATGTTGTGGGACAGTAAAGTTATGGGTCAACCCTATTTGCAAAAGCTACCAGAATTTTCGCCGTTCATGTGCAGTACATAAAAACCTATTAAAATCAACCTTATTAATAAAATTTGGCTCAAATAAAAAAAAACATTTGATAAACAAATCAATTTTCAATCAATTCATGTTCTGTTTTTAAATGAATCTATAATCAATGACATTGTGTACCCAACTATTTAATTATTAATAGGGAAATATGTAGAGAATGTTTACCAATATGGAGTTTGCTTTCAAATGAAATCTCACGGGACTTGAAGTTTTGGGAATTCTAGCATCTACATGTATTTTTAGTAACGGACCATACACTATTTTTGGTAAGTGTATAATTTTAAATAAAAACAAACAAATAAGTCATGAATCATCACTCAAAAAAATATAAATACAACATGTTTTTGGTACAATGTCTGTTATTGAAGAAATACACAGTTATTAATTATTGCAAAGCCATGCAAAAAATTTCAATTAAAAATAGCATTTTGGGTCACAGGTCAGGGTCACCAAATGTCATGCAAATGTATCTGAACCTAAATTCTCGCTAGTCACGAAGGCAGTAATTGTGGCGAAGTTTATGAAATGTGAACCCACTGATAAACTTTGAGGCATTATTTCATCAATCTAACGTTCTGTGTTCAAAAATATAGACTGAAGAGTCCCAAATATATCTTACTACCCGTATTAAAATAGTTTTTGTCTAGATCACGAAATTTTATTGAATTACAGCATGACATGAATATGTCATGGTTCTGGTTGACTTTTGATACGGGATTGGCTTCAACGAACAGGTCTAGCAGTACTATAAAACCTGTTCGCTGAAGTCTCTTTAGCTACCGTATTGCAAGCGCACGCGATTCACAAAACTGACAGTGAGAAAAAAAGTTTGTAAAATGGGTTAAACTGTTCAGTAATACAAACTATGATGAGCAAACATGATGTCATCTAGCAACTTTCAATAATTACCGAAAAGAGATTTTTTTCAGCTTTTTAGTTGAAATTTCCTTTTTAATAAATATCACTGATCTATAAATTATTGTCCATAGAAATATCTTAACTTAATCCTATTTACTATAATGTGCTTATGCTTATATTTTTTAGCTGCTTTACTTCCTTTAATACATATACTATTGTATGTCGGAAAATAGCTCATGAGCTAGTGTTTTCTGTTTAATTGTATCCAACGTAAAATAAATTTTCTTGTATCTTGTATCTAAATTACGATGAATCAGATTGAGACTTTTTATTTAAAATTTAGCTCAATGCATTTTCATAATAAAAGAACTGCCATGAATCATCACAGCTTTACATCAACTGCTAAAAAATGTTAAAATTTCATTATATTTTGTAAAGTCTTCTTCTAGAACATTACTCATAGGAGCAGTAGTCCAGCAGGGGCACTGCTAATTTCCTTGAGCAAGAAATTTACCTGCCATTGCTTCACTTCACCCAGGTGTAAATGGGTACCTGCGAGGGTGGTATAATTCCGTTGCGCCAAATTGTCAGCTGCACTAAGCGAAGTTAAAAGACTCCCCAGGGAGATTGATAGATAGATACCAGTAGCCCGATGACCAGGGGTAATAGCTGTAAAGTCGGTGAACGTGCGTAAGCATGAAACTTAGACTATAAAATGCAATTACTTACTTTTTACTTTACTCGTTAGTTAGCATTTTCATTAATGTATGTTTTTAATTACTTAGAAAATCTTGTACAGCTAATCTCTACTGTGTGTAGTTGTACATGACTCATGTACGGTAAGACAAAAAAAATTAGATGAAACCGCGTTTGAATTTGAAGCTTTTTCGTATATTATTTAGGTCAAATCAGCTTAAATATCGCATTTTCTGATAAACGTAATGCATTTGATGGCTTGTAAATTGACTGTAAATTATGCACAAAATTCGTACTTGTACATGTGTGCGGATAATTAAGATAAAAGACGTACAACAGAAATTTAAAAAATTTAACAATAAGGCAAAACTCATTACAAATTACAATGACGTTTGCCATAACCACTTTTCAGCTATTTCTTGCCTACCAGAAGTTATATAACATAAAAATCTTTGTGTGAAAGTATGTCCCAGTGAATCACTTGGTTTTATTTACATAGACAAGTCGAAACATTAAAGACAATCAAATTAATCAATTGGCATGTGCGTCTAAACAAGTCCTCAAAATATTTCCACTAATTAGTCTTGTAAAAAAGACGATACATGTGATTTTTTTTTCGATGATCAAGTGGGAGATTTTTCTTCAAAAAAAAAGGGAGATTTTAGAATTTGCAATAAACAAAGAAAGAAGTTCTGACATCAAAAAGAGGGAGATTTCTTTAATTTGTGAAAATACCCCTTATTTTAAGAAAAATCTTTGAAAATATGACTGAAGAAAGTGGGAGTCTCCCCCTAAAAGTGGGAGAGTTCACATGTATGAAAGACATCAAGATATTTTCGAAACCAGTGAACAGCTTCATATTTTTTTTATTTGTCTATCTCGGTTCATTTTGATTTAGTAAAAATTAAATCTCACAGTCTTTATATTGTCTAGTATTTGCTAAGAGAGACTGGATAAGACTGGATTGGCCATGTTAATTTTATTAAAAGTTATCACAAAAATTGATTTTTTCACGATGATGCCCATAACATGTCTGCCGAAGATATACTTTACAATACAAATTCAAAAAAAATCACTGGAAAGTGTTCAGAGAACATTTGATTTATTGCAGCAGCTGCTAATCTGCTCTTAATAATGTACAGGAATTAACCATCTAGATAATGTTTATCCAAGGTTTAGACATTGAATTTTTGAGGGCCAAATTGGCGCTGAAATATCAGCCTTAACTTGGCCCCATTCCCTTCTTTAAAAAGTATATATTTTTAACCAGGTTTTCCAAAGGAAAAAACTGGTTATTAGATTGAGGTATGTCGGCGGGCGGGCGGATGGGCGGGCGGGCGTAAACAATTTCTTCTGTGCGCAACTCCTCCTACATTTCTCAACGGTTTTTGACCAAACTTTCACAGAAGCTTTGTCATCAAGTGCCCTGGCGCATATTGTCAGGGTTTTGCGATTAGATAATATTTGACCTAATTATGGCCCTTCGTTTTTTTCCTTATATAAAATATATAGTGAACAATTTCTTCTGTGCGCAACTCCTCCTACATTTCTCAACGGATTTTGACTAAACTTTCTCAGAAGCTTTGTCATCAAGTGCCCTGACACATATTGCCAGGGTTTTGCAATTGGTATATATTTGACCTAATTATGGCCCTTTGTTTTTTTTCCTTATATAGAATATATAGTGAACAATTTCTTCTGTGCGCAACTCCTCCTACATTTCTCAACGGATTTTGACCAAACTTTCTTAAAAGCTTTGTTATCAAGTGCCTGGCACATATTGTCGGGGATTTGTGATTGGATAATATTTGACCGCATTATGGCCCTTTGTTTATTTTTTCCTTATACAGAATATATAGAGAAAAATTTCTTCTGTGCTCAACTCCTCCTACATTTCTCAACGGATTTTGACCAAACTTTCTTCGAAGCTTTGTTATCAAGTGCCTGGCACATATTGTCGGGGTTTTGTGATTGGATAATATTTGACCGAATTATGGCCCTTTGTATATTTTTTCCTTATACAGAATATATAGTGAACAATTTCTACAGTGTGCGACTTCTCCTACATTTCTCAATGGATTTTGACCAAACTTTCACAGAAGCTTTGTCATCAAGTGCCCTGGCGCTCACTAAATTCCCATGTTTCTTCCAAGACATCATTCAAGTATTTTTTTAAAATTGTGAACATACTTTTCTTGATATCGCACAAAACACCACACGCCAATATTGTTGACAAAAGAAAATGACAAGAGACGCAAAAATGCAAAAATTAAGCAAAAATAAAGTACTGTTTACCTTTCTAAAACATTTGGGAAAAAAAGGCGAATAGACAACATAAAATTTCTCAATCATTTTTGTTTGAGGAATATTAAAAAAGCCATAATTCCTCCTAAAAGTTCAATCAAAAACAAATGCCGTTCATGACAAAGCTTCTGTGAAATATTTTGCTGAAAACCTGGTTGCATCGCATTGCGATGTTCCTTGTCTTACTATTTCTTAAAAAACTTGCCTTCAGTAAAAAAAAAAAAAATTATATGTACCTTTTGCAGTCTGTGTTGCCCATTTAGGCTAGATATTGTATTCAGCTTGATGTAAGGTTTTGTTAGAAAGTTTATTTTTAGAATGCTATTTTTAGAACGTTTATTTTTAGAATATTTATTTTTAGAAATGGTGAAATTGATCAATATATCTCATATCCCAAATTAAGTCATAATTTTACAGGTAAGAACAGTAAGATAGGACATGGCAGACAATGGGGACAACCCTTCATATGACTTTAGTCACAAATACAGGGGATATGCTATAATCATAGTAAATGAAAATTTCTATGACAAAAAAAAAGAACTTCCACTACCAAAAAATAAAAGATATGGGTCATCTGTAGATTTGAAGAATATGAAAGATATGTTTAGAGCGCTAGACTTTCGTGTGAAAGCTTACAAAGATCTGACAGGTGATGCTATGAAACAAAAAATTAAAAAAGGTAAGATACTAGATGTCTTTCAGGTAGTCCTAATGCAATGCTTTCCCACAAAAAATTTCTAAATTCTAACATCGGCCAATATTCATTTGTCATTTGCAGAATGTTTTTTTTTTTCATTCAGTCATTTTAAATATTTATAACCAGAATATAGTACATAGAAGTACATAGAAGTAAAGGATGAGTAATTGTAATATAAAGATATTGGCAGATGTTAGAATTTTTTGGCAGGAAAGCATTACAATAGTTAATGGATATTTTTATTAATTTATAGCTGGGAGTAAGTCTAAAGGTCATGACTTCTAGCAAGAGAAATGTTTTGCTTTTCTGAGATATTTATAAAATGATAAAAGGTCATGAACTCTAGCAAGAGAGATGTGAGCTTTGCAGGGATATTTATGAAACAATATGAAGACATTTTAAGGCAGGCGATTATGATCACTTTTATGTATATATGGATGATTTTAAATCGTAAATGTTTTTTATGTTTTAGAAATGGGAAATGCTTAATTATATGAAAGTATTTAAAAAAATAACTCTTCCTGGCATCTTAAAATTTAATACAGCTATGTAATACAGTAAATACCTAATTTTTTGTCAAGTAAAATTCTTTTATTGTTTAATCAATTATTGCACTACCACCTTTGTATCTTAACATTAGACACATCTGCACATTGTTTTTCATTTGACATGCTGAAATATGACCTTGACTCCCGAATTCACTATTATGGCAAAGTTCAATTGTATTGAAACAAAACAAAAAAAACTGATTTTGTTTTTTCAGCAAGTCAAAATGAAGAGTTTAATAAGAATTCAGATTGTTTTGTACTGGTGATTAGTTCCCATGGTGAAGAATTGGAGGAAAAAAAGTTACAAAACATGGACAAGAATGCAAGAGTTTGGCGTCATAGTGTTCTTGGTTCAGATAACTACAAAGTCTACATAGATACAGATGTGATATCATTGTTCCAGGATGATAAAGAAACAGGACTAACCAACAAGCCTAAGCTGTTTTTTATACAGGTATGTTTACCCTTAAAGGCCCATTATGCCTAAGAAATTCTTTTTTTTCTCTCTCTCAAAAGCTTTTTTTATGCTCCCCGAAAAATTTGGGGGGAGCTTAAAGTCGGCGCCTTGTCCGTCTGTCTGTCCGTCCGTTGTCTTGTCCGGAGCATAACTTGAAAACCCATGGAGATAATTTGTTGAAACTTCATACACTGGTAGAGGGCATTGAGGGGGAGTGCAGTGTCAAAGAACCATAACTCTATTTTGCCCGGTTTTTGAATTATCTCCCCTTATAGAAAAATCTTGTCCGGGGCATAACTCTAAAACTATAAGAGATATCAACATGAAACTTTGTAGGTGAATAGATCTCAATGGGTAGATGTGCAGTGCATAAGAACAATAACTCTTTTTGTCCTAATTTTGGAGTTATTGCCCTTTATTAATTTTAACTTTTTTGAACTTTGTCCGGAACATAACTCTAAAACTATAAGAGATATCAAGATGAAACATTGTAGGTAGATAGATCTCATTGAGTAGAGGTGCAGTGCAAAAGAACCATAACTCTGTTAAGCCTCATTTTTGAATTATCTCCCCTTATAGAAAAATCTTGTCTGGGGCATAACTCTAAAACTATAAGAGATATCAACATGAAACTTTGTAGGTGAATAGATCTCAATGGGTAGATGTGCAGTGCATAAGAACAATAACTCTTTTTGTCCTAATTTGGAGTTATTGCCCTTTGTTAATTTTAACACTTTAAACTTTGTCCGGAACATAACTCTAAAACTATAAGAGATATCAAGATGAAATATTGTAGGTAGATAGATCTCATTGAGTAGAGGTGCAGTGCAAAAGAACCATAACTCTGTTAAGCCTCATTTTTGAATTATCTCCCCTTTTAGAAAAATCTTGTCCAGGTCATAGCTGTAAAACTATAAGAGATATCAACATGAAACTTTATAGGTAGATATATCTCAATGGGTAGATGTGCAGTGCACAAGAATCATAACTCTGCCTTGCCTAATTCTGAAGTTATTGCCCTTTGTTTATTTTTACTTTTTGAAGTTGTCCGGGACATAACTCGGAAATCATAAGAGATATCATCAAGAAACTTTGTAGGTTGATAGATCACATTGATTAGAAGTGCAGTGCAAAGAACAGTAACTCTGCCTTGCCTTATTTTGCACTTTGAACTTTTTCCAGGGACATAACTCTAAAACTACATGAGGTGTACTTTCCTGTGTCCAAAACCTATTCGGGGAGCAACACCCGGCTCAAACCGGGCTCTTGTTTTTAATAGTTTCCAAAAAGACTCATTGGCCAATAACCTGAACTATCTTTTGCATATGCTTTTTTTTTTTTGACAATAAGTACAGTTACAGTGAATTAGAATTTTGTATATAAGTAAAAACAAATTATTTTGCTTACATTTTGCTACTTTAATGACTTTTATGACAAATGATTTCACTTTTAATACTATTTTCTTCAGGTAACAAGCATCTAACATTCTCTATAAGCATTGTTTAAACTTTACATTATACAAGTTATATTTGCTCTTTCTAAAAAAGTAAAATTTTATTATGTCTTAGACATAATGTGGTTTTAAAGTGGATTGGTCTACTGTGGGCACAGTTTTATAAGTATTTCAAATATTCAGTTAACAAAACATACTTAACCCTTTACCCACTTAACCTTTAACTCACTAAACTTTCAACCCATTTAACTTTTAACCCACTGAATTTTAAATGGATTTGCCGCCTTTGAACTTAAAATAGTCCATTCAAAGTTTATGGTATTTCAGTATCAAAAATACAAAAACTGAGTTATTTAAAGTAAAGAGCCTGGTTGTACTGGCTGGTCTGGCTCTATATGTAATATGATGGCAAAGGCTAATCATTTTACGTTCCAGCAGGTTAAAAGGATGTTCTGGCAGGTTAAAAGTACTTTTCAGGAGATAAAAGAGACGTTAATGCAGGTTAAAGCCTAAAGGGATGTTTTCGGCTTGTTAAATGGACATTCCAGCATGTTAAAGGGACATTCTGGCAGTTTAAAGGGACATTCTAATAGGTGAAAGGTAGCGTTCAAGTAGGTAACAGTAGGTAACAAGGACATTCCAACAGGTTCAAGGGAGGTTCCAGCAGGTAAAATGGACCTTCCAGCATGTTAAAGCTACATTAGGTTAAACAGATATTCAAGCTGGTTAAAGGGACATTTCAACAGGTTAAAGGGACATTCCTGCAGGTTAAAGGGAGCTTCAAGCAGGTTTAAGGGGATATTCCAGCAGGTTAAAGGAACATTCCAGCAGGTTAAAGGGACTTTCCAGCAAGTTAAAAGGATGTTCAAGCATGTTAAAGGGATGTTCCTGCAAGTAAAAGCATGTTCCAGCGGGTTAAAGGGATGTTCTAGCAGGTTAAAGGAACATTCAAGCAGGTTAAAGGGACTTCCCAGCAAGTAAAAAGGATATTCAAGCATGTTAAAGGGATGTTCCTGCAGGTAAAAGCATGTTCCAGCAGGTTATAGGGATGTTCTAGCAGGTTAAAGGAACATTCAAGCAGGTTAAAGGAACATTCCAGCAGGTTAAAGGGACTTTCCAGCAAGTTAAAAGGATGTTCAAGCATGTTATAGGGATGTTCCTGCAGGTAAAAGCATGTTCCAGCAGGTTAAAGGGATGTTCTAGCAGGTTAAAGGAACATTCAAGCAGGTTAAAGGAACATTCCAGCAGGTTAAAGGGACTTTCCAGCAAGTTGAAAGGATGTTCAAGCATGTTAAAGAGACGTCCTGCAGGTAAAAGCATGTTCCAGCAGGTTAAAGGGATGTTATAGCAGGTTAAAAGAACAATCAAACAGGTTTAAGGGACTTTCCAGCAAGTTAAAAGGATGTTCAAGCATGTTAAAGAGATGTTCCTGCAGGTTAAAAGGTGTTCCAACAGTTTAAAGGAACATTCCAGCAAGTTAATGGGACATTCAAGCAGGTTAAAGAGACATTCCAGCAGGTTAAAGAGACATTCCAACAGGTTAAAGGGACTTTCCTGCATGTTAAAAGGATGTTCCAGCAGGTTAAAGGGACATTCGAGCAGGTTTAAGGGACTTTCCTGCAGGTTAAAAGATGTTCCAGCTGGTTAATATGACATTCCAGCAGGTTAATGGGACATTCCAACAGGTTTAAGGGACTTTCTAGCAAGTTAAAAGGATGTTCCAGCAGGTTTCAAGGGATGTTCCAGCAAGTTAAAGGGACGTTCCAGCAGGTTAAAGGGACGTTCTGGCAGGTTTAAGGGACATTCCAGCAGGTTAAAGGGACATTCGAGCAGGTTAAAGGGATATTCTGGCAGGTTAAAGGGACGTTCCAGCAGGTTAAAGGGGCGTTCCAGCAAGTTAAAGGGACGTTCCAGCAGGTTAAAGGGACGTTCTGGCAGGTTAAAGGGACATTCGAGCAGGTTAAAGGGCCCTCCGCCAGGCTAAATGGACAATAAACAAAGTTTGGAGAATGATTAAGATAGTTATAAGGAAAAAATATTTTCAAAAATCTTATTATCATTGTAGGCATGTAGGTCAAGGCATGGTAATAAAGAAAAGCGTTTTGACTTCGGACAAGTTGTTATAGTTGCTAAAGAGAAACGGTCAAATGTACAGCCGAGTGATGCCGGTGATCACATAGATAACATTGTGTTAGACAGTCTGGATGGTGATGGAATAGACAATATTTACTCAGACTTAACTGAGGGTGAGTACTGTATTAAAGGGGCAGATTAAGGGGTGGTGAAATTGGGATGTGGCGGGAGTTGGTGGTGGTTGTGCAGTGTAAAACCTATATGTGCTTCCCGTAAAATTTTGACAAGGATAATTAAAAGAATTTATAGCAAATGTCACAGGACAATATATGATGGATTGTTTTACAGAAACCAAAGGGGTGATATTTTTATATATATATATCCCCCCCCCCATCCACCAACACTCGGCCCATCCTGAAATATACTTGCATAAAATTCTGCATTGATCAGCCACTGTTATTATTTAGAATCAGACTGTTTAAGTAAATGGTAAGAATATTAATTCTGGTTAGAAGTTTGAAATTGTGTTACAACAGTTATACATTTTCATGTTCTTATCTAAACTTGTATACATATATTAACATTAAAATACAGTCAAACCTGTGCTATAGACCACTTATGAATAAAAACCACCCTGTAAATAAAGGCCACTCTTCTGACAATCCTTCATTGATTAAAATGAACGAAGTAACCTCCAAATAAAGACCACTTGTCTGTAAAGGCCATGTTTGGTCTCTCCTTTGGATTAACTTTGTGCACTGTTTTGATTGTATGTGTAAAGAAATTGACAGGCATTCTAAGACAAACCAGTACTAGTTGACTGTCCAAGAACACTTGAGTCTTATGTAACTTGGTAACTGTGCATGTGAAGGATATTTTTGATATCAATCACTATTTCAATTTCTCACTGTATGTCCTGTAAGGGTTTGGGCAAGGGAGAGCTGGGTAAGTAACATAAGTTTGTGTGTGATAAAAATTTGAAGATATTTTTTACTTTTTTTGAGCCTGCTTCTTGGCACCAACCAAGGGCTCGAACACAATAACTTGTTTTAGAGGCATGCACCAGCTATTGAAAATAGTATATTATTATCCCAATCCACGGGGAAAAAATTTCATTTGAAAGTTACAAACTGAAAATATTGAATTACAAATTCTAAAATTTTTGAAAAGAAAAGGTTTTTTCACTGTAATGGTGCATAATTTTTTGAAGATGCCATCCCAGATGGTGATTCTTTGCATTCATTTAATCACTGCAAAATTTCAGTCATGCATCTTTCTCAATTTTTAACAAAACATCGCTGAAATTACCAATGCCATGGTATGGCTCATATCCCCAAAATCCTGAATAAAAAAAATCCTTGTCTGTTTTTCAGATGCTGATCATGATGAATGGAATGAAGCAGAGGAGACGTATGATGATGTCATTACTGTAGACTCAGATGAAGATATCTCTGATGCCAAAGGTAGCCCTGATTCTGGCATGATGCCAAGATCACCTTCTCCACTTTCCCAGCAACAGCAGCAGCAGCTCCAACAACAACAGCTGCAACAACAACAACAGCAGCAGCTTCAACAACTTCAGCAACAACAGCAGCAGCTGCAGCAACAACAACAACTTCAGCAACAACCACAGCAGCCACAGGAAGTAAATCTTTTGGCACCAAATCTTCCAGAAAGAGGTGACAAACCAATTGGTCAGATAATTGATATAGCAGGAGGTAATGAGAATCAGGCACAGGGATCTGGTAACCATGGTAGTGGGGATCAGGCAGATGCAGGCCACTCGGCAGACACAGGTGTGATCCCTATGACACCATATGATGTAATTCCTATCAACTGCCCGCAGGACTGTCTCATTGTTTACCCTTCAGTGTCAGGTATTATTTCTTAAAGCAGTTTGTCTTTTTGTAAAATATATCAAAGGCTATTCAAAAGTTTTTTTCTGTGGAGAGGTTGGCACTTATTTTGGGATGCATGGAAACAAGTCAGTACTTGTATTGAACAATTGTTGTGGGTGCTGGAAAAAATGTGCCAGTAGATTTTTTAATAAACTTGAAGGTGATTTTTAACCAGGTTTTCCGAAGGAAAAAACTGGTTATTAGATTGAGGTATGTCCGCGGGCGGACGGGCGGGCGTAAACAATTTCTTCTGTGCGCAACTCCTTCTACATTTCTCAACGGATTTTGACCAAACTATCACAGAAGCTTTGTCATTAAGGGCCCTGGCGCATATTGTCGGGGTTTTGCGATTGGATAATATTTGACCTAATTATGGCCCTTTGTTTTTTTTCCTTATATAGAATATATAGTGAACAATTTCTTCTGTGCGCAACTCCTCCTACATTTCTCTACGGATTTGGACCAAACTTTCACAGAAGCTTTGTCATCAAGTGCCCTGGAACATATTGTCGGTGTTTTGTGATTGTGATTGTGATAATATTTGACCTAATTATGGCCCTTTGTTTTTTTTCCTTATAAAGAATATATAGTGAACAATTTCTTCTGTGCTGAACTCCTCCTACATTTCTCAACGGATTTTGACCAAACTTTCACAGAAGCTTTGTTATCAAGTGCCCTGGCACATATTGTCGGTGTTTTGTGATTGGATAATATTTGACCTAATTATGGCCCTTTGTTTTTTTTCCTTATACAGAATATATAGTGAACAATTTCTACCGTGCGCAACTTCTCCTACATTTCTCAACGGATTTTGACCAAACTTTCACAGAAGCTTTGTTATCAAGTGCCCTGGCGCATATTGTCAGGGTTTTGTGATTGGATAATATTTGACCTAATTATGGCCCTTTGTTTTTTTCCTTGTACAGAATTATCAATATATAGTGAACAAATTCTTCTGTGCTGAACTCGTCCTACATTTCTCAACAAATTTTGTTCAAACTTTCACAGAAGCTTTGTCATCAAGTGCCCTGGCGCATATTGTCGGGGTTTTGTGATTGGATAATTTTTGACCTAATTATGGCCCTTTGTTTTTTTCCTTATAAAGAATATATAGTGAACACTTCTTCTATGGCAATTCCTCTTACATTATTCATGTTTTACATTGCACATAGTTACATTGTTTGCTGCTTGTATTTGTATTTCAAATACAACATATTTATCTACAATGGTGATAATTGAAAACCTGGTTTCGTGGCATTGCCATGTTTCTTGTTAATGAGTTTTGACAATACTTTTCACAAACAATACCTATACATTGTCTGAATATCCTGAAATTTTCATTTTTTATATCAAAGGTAACAATGTGATGATAAAAATGAGCCACGCCATGACAAAACTTCCATAGTGCGTTTGCGACCAGCATGGATCCAGACCAGCCTGTGCATCCACGCAGTCTGATCAGGATCCATGCTGTTAGCTTACAAACCCTATTACAAGTTGAGAAACTAATAGCGAACAGCATGGATCCTGATCAGACTGCATGGATGCGCAGGCTGGTCTGGATCCATTCTGGTCGCAAACGCACTATGTTGGTTTTGTCATGGCGTGGCTCAAATAATAAATTCTGTTGCACATTGCTTAATACATATAGGTACATAACTTCATTTACACTACGAGATTTGTTTTTTTTATATTATTAAAACTATAAAATGGGTATAATAATTTAAAATTTTTGAAGATTAATTTTATTCAATTGCGGGCATCTTTATTTAACTGCTTTCTTTCAAAACCTGGACCTCTGCTTGTGACCTGTTCTTGGTTAAAGGGACCTAAATTTGTGCATAATAATGTGCCAAAAGTGTTGAACATTTGAAAATTATAATCATCTTTGGTGACAATTGACCTTATTTATATTGACATTGAATATGCCGGCAAGATGTTAACACTTTTCATATCATCATTCTGTCCAAGGGGACTTAACTGTCCATACACACATTTTCATATTTTTATCTGACCTTTGATCTTTAAGAGTGACATTGATCTTGACCTCAGGGACTTGAATTTTGCAAGCCACACTACATCACAATAGTCTACATTTGTGACAAGTAATATTTAATAATATATTAATATCCCTTATTGTATGTAGAATTTTTGCACCAGAAAAGAGTTTTTCTTTGATCTTCAAATGTGACCTTGACGTTTGACCTAGATCCTGGTTTTTGGGTGTGATGCAGCATCTTATGAGGATGGAGTTTTTGTCAAGGCATACTTTCGTTTATCAATGCACAAATATTTACTTCAGACTAAAATGGAAGTCATCTGTATGCTGACTACAGGCCTGCCATGGGTGATCCCATTATATATTATATGACCTTTAAAAAACCTCAAAGACAACTGGCATATTGAAAATAGCTCGCAAACAAAAACAAACAGTTTATGTCATTCAACCCAAATTACAAAAAAAACTAGGATCATCTTTATTTTTTTTATAGTTTTTATTTTAAAAAAATCCTTGATATTCCTGTTTAATAAATGGATGATAATGAATGAGTGGCGAGCATAATATTGTTTTTTTCAATGACTTCAATAAATTTAGAATTTAATCTATCCAATATCGTATTCTATTTATCACATAATATAAATAAGAAGGTAAGCAGTTACTGTTAAAAAGAATCATTTTTCAATGACATGCCTTTAGTGTAATACTAACATTAGCACACTTTAACGCTTTTTTTATATATAATGCAAATGACGTCACACGAAAGTGTTATTACACTAGTGTAATATCCTTTTTATATGCCCGAAAGAATTTCGGGCATATTATGTTAAAACCTCCTGGCGTCTGTCTGTCCGTCAGTCCGTTAGCAATTTGGTTTCCGGAGCATAACTTAAGTTTCATTTGACCCACAATATTCAAACTTCATAGGATGATTGTCCATATTGGGTAGACCCCTATTCATTTTGGGGTCACAAGGGAAAGGTCAAGGTCATTATGACCTTAAAACTGAAAACAGTTTCCGGAGCATAACTTAAATCCCATTTGGCCCACAGTGTTCAAACTTCATAGGATGATTGTCCATATTGGGTAGAAGACCCCAATTGATTTTGAGGTCACAAGGTCAAAGGTCAAGGTCACTATGACCTTAAAACAAGAAACAGTTTCCGGAGCATTACTTAAGTCCCATTTTGCCCACAGTGTTCAAACTTCATAGGATGATTGTCCATATTGGGGAAAAGACCCCTATTGATTTTGGGGTCACAAGGTCAAAGGTCAAGGTCACTATCACCTTAAAACAGTTTCTGGAGCATAACTTAAGTTCCATTTGGCCCACAGTGTTCAATCTTCATAGGATGATTGTCTATATTAGGTAGAAGACCCCTTGTGATTTTGAGGAGAAAATTATAATTGGGAAGAGGCCTTTTTTCGGAGTCTGTTATATAAGAAGGAAAATAATTAACTTGTTAATGAACTACATGTCAATATATCAATTTTTAAATTTTCAGGAGCAGTTGCATTTAGGCGTCCAGATATAGGGTCAAGGCTATTACACTGTATGAATAAAAAAGAGAATCTGAAGAAACTAGTAAGGGGCTGCGACTTGTTGCAATACCTGACACTGGTATCTGGGGATATGGCGGGACAAGAGATAAGTTTTGACCCATGGAAGTCGGGTTACGATGGGGCGTATGCTGTGGAATTACAGAAGAACATGCCTTTTAAAGTCACAACTGTGGTTTCACACAGGTTGAAGAAACAAGTCATGTTTGAAGCGAAGACAAAGAATTCACCAATGGCATATCTGAGGATGATGTTTGAGAAGTTGTTCCTTTAAACTGCAGGATCATTTTGGATATCGGACCCTAATGAAAATAAATGCAATCTGCTTTATTGTTAATTTCTCAAATCATGACGTCACAAGTGAAAGATAATCTCTTATATAGCAAAAATGTATTTTTTAAAGAAGATATACAAAAACTGTCAAAAGAAGTCAAGGCCAGTGTTACGTTTTTTTTTTATATGTTCATGTGTACCAAATAGGTATTAGGGTTAAAACTTTGTTATCCTGAAATGCTATACTGAATCTCTGCAAATTATATTTTATAATAGTTTAAAAAACGTATTAAAGATATTGTCAAAATGTAAATTGTTTTGCATAGTTTTTCTCAACATAAACACTTAGTTGCTTGCTTTTCTTTTACAAACAATGTTATGAAAAAATAAAAAAAAAAAAAAAAAAAAAACAAACCAAAAACAAAAAGTGATAATAGATTGTTAGTGACAAGAATAATTGTTGTAAATTTTTTTACGAGTTTTAAAACACATATTAATACTCTGAACAATTTTGAAATATGATTTTTGTCTTAAAGGCCTATTATGCACTTTAAATACTTTTATTTTTATTTTTTAAAAACTTTTTTTGTGTGTCTTGTTGTTGTTTCCAAAAAAGATTCCCATTGACTAATTATGTGAACCAACTTTTGCTTCAGTTGTTGTGTTTGGCAATTAGTTAAGTTATAGTGATTTGGTATTTTGTCTGGAAGTCAAATTACCACTTTGTTTACATTTTGCTACATTTATGACAAATAATACCACTTTCTGAATAAGTTTTCTTTGGATAATAAGCATATAATATATGCTTTAAAACCATTATTTAAATTTTATATTACTCGGGTATGCATTTTCTAAAGAAGAAAAATGTATTTGTTTCAGGTGTGTAAAGTGCCTTTAAAGTTATAAGAAATTATAAAATATAAAATATTTAAGACACATTAAATCATTATGGACACATTTGTTCAAGAAGAATCATTGTTACATTTGTCCTATAAAGAAGTTACATTTATTCATGCCAAAAGTTTTAAAGTTGTTTTCACCTTACTTTTAAAGACAGAAAATTGATAAATCGAGGGACCTGTTTAAGACAGTTTGGACTGAAACCCATGTGAAAATGCATTTATTACGAACTTTGCTCAATTTTTACATTTTTTTTAAAGGGGAAAAATCAGTATATGACTAGTTTTATAATTATGATTACCAGAGTTTCTTCCCTTAGTTTCTATTAGCACCATTTGCTTTTGATTTTGACTATAACTGCAAAAGAACTGTTGATAATGTTATTATTTGAGTGAATCTTAGAATATTAATCTGAAAGAAATTAATGTTTGTTTTATACATATGTGTGAGTGTATTTTTATAACATTGCAAAAAAATATACCAAAAAATTGTTTGTGACATTTGAGTTATATAATGGCTTTGTCTATTGTGTATTGTGATGTTTGTGAAAGAATAAAGCTTCTCCTTCTGCAACATATATGGTATAATTATATATAACATTATATGAGCCGCGTCACGACAAAACCAACATAATGAGTTTGCGACCAGCATGGATCCAGACCAGCCTGCGCATCTTCGCAGTCTGATCAGGATCCATGCTGTTTGCTTATCAACTCTATTACAAGTGGGGAAAATGACAACGAACAGCATGGATCCTGATCAGACTGCGCGTATGTGCAGGCTGGTCTGGATCCATGCTGGTCGCAAACCCACTATGTTGGGTTTTGTCATGAGGCGGCTCATATATATTTACATTTTCTTAATTTCTGCGTCTGCCTGGGATAAAAATGTACATGTATTCTATTATTATTCTAAATAATAACAAAGATGGTAGTACTTAACTTGCGTGCATATTGTGGAGCCTAGTTGGACCACCGTAAATGGAATAGGAAATTACCCTTCAGACAGAACGTTGCTGACAAATATCTTATGGGGTTATAACCGGTAGGGGACTATTGTATTGCTTGCAATACTATGATAATTGCTTGTTGAACTTGATGCCTAAATTAGTATTGTATTCGCCCGTGGCTGGCATGATTTAATTTTTTTCAACTCATTCAATAAATTATAGTATTGAACATTACACTCATTCAATATCACCTTTTTATCTCACTGAAATTGCTTTGAAAATGTATTGTAATCAAATAATTTTGTATGCAATCAAATAATGCAATAAAACAAACATAATATTATGTAATTACATGTATACAAGAATTTTTACTTGTTTGTTTTTTCTTCATATTATTTAATACATGTAAGACGGTATATACACTAAATCACTGAACCCTGTCTTGTGAGCTTTTGTGTTCAATGTGTACCCTGCCTTGTGTCTATGAGTTCAATGTGTACCCTGTCTTGTGAGTCTATGTGTTCAATGTGTACCCTGTCTTGTGAGTCTATGTGTTCAATGTGTACCCTGTCTTGTGAGCCTATGTGTTCAATTTGTACCCTGTCTTGTGAGCCTATGTGTTCAATGTGTACCCTGTCTTGTGAATCTATGTGTTCAATGTGTACCCTGTCTTGTGAGTCTATGTGTTCAATGTGTACCCTGTCTTGTGAGTCTATGTGTTCAATGTGTACCCTGTCTTGTGAGTCTATGTGTTCAATGTGTACCCTGTCTTGTGATTCTTTGTGTTCAATGTGTACCCTGTCTTGCGAGTCTATGTGTTCCATGTATACCATGTCTTTTGAGCCTATGTGTTTCAATGTGTACCCTGTCTTGTGAGCCTATGTGTTCAATGTGTACCCTGTCTTGTGAGCTTTTGTGCACAATGTGTACCCTGTCTTGTGAGCCTGTGTTTCATGTGTACCCTGTCTTGTGAGCTTTTGTGTTCAATGTGTACCCTGTCTTGTGAGCCTATGTGTTCAATTTGTACCCTGTCTTGTGAGCCTATGTGCTCAATGTGTACCCTGTCTTGTGAATCTATGTGTTCCATGTATACCATGTCTTTTGAGCCTATGTGTTCAATGTGTACCCTGTCCTGTGAGCCTATGTGTTCAATGTGTACCCTGTCTTGTGAGCTTTTCTGCACAATATGTACCCTGTCTTGTGAGCCAATGTTTGTCTTGTGATTACAAGCATATGTTTTTGCCGATTACTATGCCTATAACTTGAACATTTTTGCGATAACAGGAAGAAGACTTGTTTTTATACCCGTTTATTTTATCATGAATGCTTAATAGGGATAACCCCTTTGGGAAATTAAAAATATTTTGGGGTTTTTTTAGGGTTAAAATGAGGGTACAAAAAAAACTTTTACAAAATAAAAAGCTTTTTTAAAAAAAATTTTTTTGAGGTTTTTAAATTTTTCTAAATTGTGACCAGTTTGCTGCAACAAAAGTAAAACTATATTTGACATTTTTTGCCCAAGGGTTTATTCCTTAAAAACCAAAATTGCCCAACTTTATTGGAGTAAAGTATCTTGGTTAAAAACATATAATTTTAATTTTAAAAATGGGACAAATCTTTTGGGGGAAATTTGGGACTGTGTTTCCCTTTTTTTTCCATCCGAAAGGGGCAAAAATGGCGGGCCAATTAAAAACTTAATTTTTTTGCCCAATTTAAATTAATCCTTTTTCCGAAGTAAAAACAAAATGGGGAGATAAAGAAAAAAATACTTGTATAAGTCAATTGGCGTCGGATTCTTTTATGACAAATAAAATATCAATTCAGTACATAGAAATTCAATAATAATAATAATAAGTGATAAGCCATCAACATGCTCTTTAACTGTTGTATAAACATTATAAAACTCATTTTTGCCATCTGTAAAGAAGGAAAAAATTATTTGTTTCTGAGTCATAATGTGCCTTTAAAGGATTTCAATACATCATCAAAATACATAAACTGAATCCCTGACAGTCTAAAAGCTTGTCAGACTGGTTGCAAAGGCTATTCACTTCTTGTTCCAGCAGATTAGAGTGTTTAATAAGGGACACTTCCATATAAATAATTATCTTTTTTTGTCTTAAAAAAACAACAAAAACAGCCATGTATTAAGTCTATGACTCATTGAATATACAGTTACACCCCAGTAGTTGAAGCATTGGTTACTCATGTTGACATTCATGGTTGTGAACATTCATGGGTGTGGACATTCATGGCTGTGAACATTCATGGATGTGAACATTCATGGATGTGAACATTCATGGCTGTGAACATCCATAGGTGTGAACATTCATGGCTGTGAACATTCATGGTTGTGGACATTCATGGCTGTGAACATTCATGGATGTGAACATTCATGGATGTGGACATTCATGGGTCTGAACATTCATGGATGTAAACATTCATGGGTGTGGACATTCATGGCTGTGAACATTCATGGATGTGGACATTCATTGGTGTGAACATTCATGGATGTGAACATTCATGGATGTGGACATTCATGGCTGTGAACATTCATGGCTGTGAACATCCTTGGGTGTGAACATTCATGGCTGTGAACATTAATGGGTGTGGATATTCATGGGTGTGGACATTAATGTGTGTGAACACCCATGGGTGTGAACATCCTTGGGTGTGAACATTCATGGGTGTGGACATTCATGGGTGTGAACATTCATGGGTGTGGACATTTATGGGTGTGGACATTCATGGTGTGAACATTCATGGGTATGAACATTCATGGGTGTGAATATTCATGGATGTGAACATTCATGGGTTTGGACATTCATGGTTATGGAAAATTCATTGGTGTGAACATTCATGGGAATGGACATTCATTGGTGTGGACATTCATGGGTGTGAACATTCATGGGTATGGACATTCATGGGAGTGGCCATTCATGGGTTTGGACATTCATGGGTGTGAACATTCATGGGAATGGACAGTCATAGGTGTGAACATTTATGGGTGTGGATATTCATGGGTGTGAAAATTGATATAAAATATTTTTATTCTCCCTTAAGAGAGAGAAATTTTTTCTTTGGGAAGGATTGATACTGTTGTTGTAAAAAAAAGGTTTTAATCCCCGCCCCGAGGTTACCCCCCTGTAACTAAAATTATACCCCAAAAATAAAAGTTGCCCAAATTTTCGCATTTTACCAAAAAAAACCAAATAATGGAAAAAAAGCCCTAATTTGAGGGTGATATAATTTGCCTATCCCGAATTTTCCCTTTTCCCCAAAGGGGGTTTGAACCCTTAACCCTTTCAGCTGTCGAGGGTCATTTGACTGAACTGTTCAGCTACTGAGGGTCATTTGACATAACTGTTAAGCGTAAATCGAAGGTAAGCATTATGACGGGGCTTGTTATAACGAGGTTGCATGCATTGCATTACAATATAGAGAAAGAAAATATTTGAAACTTTCATTTGGTTGATATAGTTTTGAAACCTTTCTTTACCTCTTTTCCATTCCAGATTTTTCTTCCTGACAAAGAAACTTAAACTTCCGGACAACAGAATATTACTGCTTTAGCACTGGTGACCTTGACCTTTAACCCTGCAGATCAAAATGGATGACTCAGAGGAATATGACATGAATCACCATTTTAGAGGTCATGCTATTATCATTGCAAATGAAAAGTTTAGGGGGAAGATGTCAAATCGTGCTGGCGCAAGGCAAGATGCTTTTAAATCCCAAAACTTATTTCAAAATCTTTGGAAAATTTTTGAGTTAAAAAAACATTTAAAAGGGATTTTGGTGGGACCCCATATAAAAGGGTATTAAATTTAAAAAAATTATTTTTTTCCCTTTTTTCTTCCCCCTAGTCCCCGTTTAACCCCCTTTTTTGCCCCAAAAAAGAAAAAAACCCCAATTTTTTTTTTTCAAAACCCTTTCTTCTTTTAAAACTTTTAATTTAAAAAATTCATTAAAAATGTTAAAAAAAAAAAAAATTTTTTTGGGGAATATTTTTTAATAAATTATTTTTGTAAAAAATTTAAAAACCCTTTTTTAACCCCCTTTAAAAATTTTTTTTACAGTTAAATTAACAAACCCCATGGGGATCTGACGTTATATCATTCAAACCCCTTTTATTTTTTAAAAAGGGGTCTGCCAAAATTTTTGGCTTCCAAAAAAGAATTTGCATCCCGATTTGTAATCCCAAAGTGAGCTTGGGTTTGGGTCCCCTTGGGGGGGGGCGTTATTTTTGGTTTTTCTTTCATGAAAATATTGCTTTTCAGACATTGGGTTTAAGATCACCCTTTCCCCCAACTGCTTTAAATTTAAAACGTGGGAAAAAATTTGGTCACTTGCAGAAAAATTGGTTATTACTGGTTAGTTATCTAGGAAAGCTGGTTACATGGACTGACTGCCGAGATGTGACCAAAAAGTTGATAAAATTGGAAGAAAAACTAAAGAAATTATGCTAAAGAAAAATATCATCTACTTAATTCTTAAATTTTATCCAATTTTGTCATGATCAAAAGAACTGCTTGGGATCTGACCTGACATTTTCTTCTTCTATGATGCTTAGGGCCCCTTCACAATTCAAAATTGCACTTTTTTTTTCACAAAGCGAAATTTTTACCAATTTTCAAAAAAAGAAAAACACCCAAAAAAAAAAACGGGAAACCCCTTTTCTTCGAAAATTGTTTACTTTTTTGGTTAAAAATTTTTTTGGTTTAATTTTCAAACAAAACCCCAAAATAAATTTTAAATTGGGGTTAAAAATGGGTGTTTAACCCCCTTTTTAAAGTAAACCAAACTCAAAAGCGAATTTTTTTTCCCCAAGGGGGCAAAATTTTTATAATTCCCCAGTTTTTTTATTTTAAAAACATTTTTTTCAAAAATTTTTAAAAATTTTTAAAACATAATGGGAAAAAGTTATTCACTTTTTCACAAAATTTTAAGACAAAATTCGCGCCCCTTTTTCACCAAATGAACGGGCCATTGCCCCCTTTACGAAATTTTCGAAACCTTTTTTAGTTTTCCTGTTACTAAACAGGGAGGAAAAAAACAAAAGTGGGTTTCAATTCTGATGCCTAAACCCCCTTATTTTGCCCCAAAGGGGGAAAAAACATGTATCTCACATAACTTTGTTGATGTCGGTCATATATGTACCTCTACCTATTTTGCAACCATTTAAACACAAATAGCCATTTTGATAATACAAATGAATAATACCAGAAGAAATCACTTCGGAGATTATTGTCCCCCGCCTTTTCCAAGAAAAAAGGGGGATAATTTAGTAATAGGCTCCGTCTGTCCGTCCGTCCGTCAAACTTTCTTGTCAAGTCCATAACTTTTTCATTTATCAAAGAAATCTAAAATAACTTGGCACAAATGTTTGTTTTAATAAGAAGAAGTGTCATGCGCATCAACCAGACCCCTACCTCCAGGGTCAAGGTCGCACTTGCTCATTCAAGGTCAACATTGTCTATTTGATGGTATATGTCGTGTCCGGTCCATAACTTTCTTATCTTTGAAGGGATTTTGTAAATACACGCCACAATTGTTCACAATAATGAGACGATGTGTCATGCGCAACAACTGGTCACCTACCTCCAAGGTCAAGGTCCCACTTGGAGGTCAAAGATTAACATAGTCTATTACAGGGTATTATTTTGTGTCCAGTCCATAACTTTTTCATTTATCAAAGGAATCTGAAATAACTTGGCACAAATGTTTGTTATAATAAGAAGAAGTGTCATGTGCATCAACCAGACCCCTACCTCCAGGGTCAAGGTCGCACTTGCTCATTCAAGGTCAACATTGTCTATTTGATGGTATATGTTGTGTTCGGTCCATAACTGTCTTATCTTTGAAGGGATTTTGTAAATACATGCCACAATTGTTCACAATAATGAGACGATGGGTCATGCGCAACAACTAGTCACCTACCTCTAAGGTCAAGGTCACACTTGGAGGTCAAATGTTAACATAGTCTATTACAGGGTATATTTTTGTCCGGTCCATAACTTTTTCATTTATCAAAGGAATCTGAAATAACTTGGCACAAATGTTTGTTATAATAAGAAGAAGTGTCATGCACATCAACCAGACCCCTACCTCCAGGGTCAAGGTCGCACTTGCTCATTCAAGGTCAACATTGTCTATTTGATGGTATATTTCGTGTCCGATCCATAACTGTCTTATCTTTGAAGGGATTTTGTAAATACTTGCCACAATTGTTCACAATAATGAGACAATGTGTCATGCGCAACAACTGGTCACCTACCTCCAAGGTCAAGGTCCCACTTGGAGGTCAAAGATTAACATAGTCTATTACAGGGTATATTTTGTGTCCAGTCCATAACTTTTTCATTTATCAAAGGAATCTGAAATAACTTGACACAAATGTTTGTTATAATAAGATGATGTGTCATGCACATCAACCAGACCCCTACCTCCAGGGTCAAGGTCGCACTTGCTTATTCAAGGTCAGCATTGTCTATTTGATGGTATATGTCGTGTCCGGTCCATAACTTTCTTATCTTTGAAGGGAATTTGTAAATACTTGCCACAATTGTTCACAATAATGAGACTATTGTGTCATGCGCAACAACCTGTTTCCTACCCCCAAGGTCAAGGTCCCACTTGGAGGTCAAAGTATAACATAGTCTATTACAGGGTATATTTTGTGTCCAGTCCATAACTTTTTCATTTATCAAAGAAATCTAAAATAACTTGGCACAAATGTTTGTTATAATAAGATGATGTGTCATGCTCAACAACCAGACCCCTACCTCCAGGGTCAAGGTCGCACTTGCTCATTCAAGGTCAACATTGTCTATTTGATGGTAAATGTCGTGTCCTGTCCATAACTTTTTTATCTTTGAAGGGAATTTGTAAATACTTGCCACAATTGTTTACAATAATGAGACGCTGTGTCATGCGCAACAACCGGTCACCTACCTCCAAGGTCAAGGTCACACTTGGAGGTCAAAGATTAACATAGTCTTTTACAGGGTATATTTTGTGTCCAGTCCATAACTTTTTCATAGATCAAAGGATTTTGTAAATACTTGCCACAAATAGTCACTATAATAAGACAATGTGTCTTGCGCAACACCTGCATCCCTACCTCCAAGTTCAAGGTCACACTTAGAGGTCAAAAGTTAACATAGTCTGTTTTAGGGTACAAATTGTGTCTGATATAGAACTTCTTCAGGATTTTTAAATAACTAGGCACAAATAGTCACAATGGTAAGGTGATATGTCATGCATAACACATGTGTCCCTACCTCCAAGGTCAAGGTCACACATAGAGGTCAAAGATTCACATAGTCTGTTATAGGGTATATTTTGTTATTTTGTGTCCAGTCCCATAACCTGGGATTTTAAAAATACTTTGTACAAATAATCACAATAATAAGATGATATGTCAGGTGCAAAACATGGGTCCCTACCTCCAAGGTCACACTTAAAGGTCAAAGATTGACATAGTCTGTTATAAGGTATATTTTGTGTCTAATCTATAATTTCTACATAGTTAAAGGGATTTTGAAAATACTTGGCACAAATAGTAATATTAATATGACGATATGTCATGCATAACACCTACACCCCTACCTCCAAGGTCAAGGTCACACTTGGAGGTCAAAGGTTAACATGATAGAATTTTAAATTCCATGTTTCATTTTACTAGTATTTCTTTAATAAATTTATTGTTGCATTTGCAGATCTAGCATTGATCATAGTTTTGGACTGAAAGTCCTGACATCCATACCTCAATCTTTTGAAATAGCACAATTTTATGCTTCATATAAAACTTCCCCAAGGAGGGGGACGTTGGTTACAACTCTGTTACAAATTCTTGTTAAAAAAAGTTTTAGCAAATTTTGATGCTTCTAGGTCAGAGGTCAATGTCACAGTCATTTTGACCTTGACTTTCTCACTTTTTATAATAACTGGATAAAAAAGTTTGTAAATATTACTAAATAGAAGTGATGGGGAGACCCATTATGCGCATAATAAGGTGTATAATTGACCTTTTTGTTTAGTTTCTTATGTGTCAAGATGAGTGAGAAAAATAATCAATCAGTGGGTTAGATAGTGGAAAGGTAAATCCCAACCCTTGGGCAATTGGTTCCAATGAGAACTTGCCAGGCTCATTCTCGACGGAACCAATCACAGCTTCATGTTGGGATTTCCCTATCCTCTATCTAACCCAATGATAGATTTTATTAATCTAAAACTTTAGGATCTTAATCAACAACATTCTGCACATTGATATTTTCAGCGAGCAAGTCTTTTGCTAATTTGGACGCCGACTGCTTTGTGCTCGTGATAAGTTCTCACGGACGTGAGGAGCCGGTCTTCGATAGCTCTCTGCAAGGTGGATCGTACATGTACCTACCTAAAGATTCAACAGTTTGGCGTCATGCTATATTGGGTAGTGATAACGAACTTATTTTCGTGGACGAAATCCTGAAAATATTTGACGATCAAGAAAATAAAGACAGTTATTTGAAAGGGAAACCAAAGTTATTTTTCCTTCAGGTGAACATTTTATTATATAAACTAGATCTACAGTTATATTTCTTAGAGGGATATTGTAACTTGGCATATAATTATAATATTTGTTCTAAGTTAACTGTTATTTTTCTCTTTAACCTTTAACCTAGTTGTAGTGACTAATTGCAACCCGTGCACATCCATGCCAACTGATCATGGTCTGTACTTTTTGCTATTCAGTCCGTATTTATTTTGAAATTTCCCCAACACATAATGAGTGGTTTTGATTTGCAAGTCCATTTAAGATATGTAGTGTAGTATACACATTTTTAACCGCTCCAGGATTTTAGGAAATGGATTAGGTCTATGAATTAGGTCAGTAAAACAGTTAAAGTTTGTCCCATACCATGCTGGGAAGTGATTATCTTTATCACTAGTATAGATCATGGCCCTGTGTTCACTAACAAAAAATAAGGATCCAAAAGGGATTCATAGTAATAAAAATGCATGTATAATTATTCATAATTTCAGGCATGCAGGTCAGGTCATTTGTCGTACAAAAATGGGATTTTGGGATCATATGATACAGGTACCAATGTTAAAGTGTCTATCTCGGATACCAATCTTACAAACATACAACCCTCAGATGCCGGTTACCATGACGAAGATTTTATAGAGCTGGTTAACTCAGTGGCAGGAATAAAATTAAGCCAAGAGGCTGAGAATGGTAAGTTTTATTACCGTAAAATCCCTATTTAACGCCCCCACCAACTTTTGAAAACCTTGTATGTAGATTAATTTTTGATATGATATTCCTATCATGAAGAAATTAGGTTTGACTTTGAAGATAAAGGCATGTTTTGTATGTGGTCATCTAAGTGCAGTAACAGGTTAAGTATTTCTAAATTTAATAGGAGTTAAAGGGATACTCAGGCAAAATAATGACACAAATATAAAAATGATCTTCTGTACTCAGATCACCCTAAAATGACATTTCATAAAGTCCCAGCATGAATTTCTGTATAAATTCTATATATTTTGGGTTTGAAGCTTAAATATATCTATATACAGTAAACTCCGCTTATAACGAACTCATTGGGACATTCAAAATCTGTTCCTTATATCCGGAGTTCCTTGTAAGCATATAGCGAATTAGTTCCTTGTATCAGGAATTTTTATAGCGAACAGAGATTTACATATAACGAACTGATTGTTAAACATCGTCCACCATTTTTAAGAGCATTTGATTAAGAATAATTAATCATTTATTTCTTTTTTAGACACAATACCCGAGAGCGTACATTTTGGAATTTGAAAATCCTTTGCTATTTCAGTTTTAGTTTTACTCCCTTTCTCAATTTTTCATAAAACATCATATTTCGTTTCTTAACTCACTACACTGTGCTTTTTGTTTTCTTTCAATGAGAAGAATAAACAAGATTTTTCATTTTTCTTCCTTTTATATTGAATATCTTCTATTATATTTCAAGGGTGACTTTAACTAATAACATATATATTTCTTTTCATTTCAATCAAGCATACTTTGTAGTTTTCTATGGATTATGTTTGCAAGCATGCGTGATTATGTTGAAAACCGATAATTATTTTACTCGAGCAAACTATTAAAGAAAAGAAATTATAGAATAAAGGGAATTACCGTTTCATCTTTGTGACAAAAACTCAAGCTAAAAATATCCTAAATAGAAAACTATTACATACTTCTATACAAATTCATTTTCATATATTGAATTACATACAACAATAAACGGTACATTCAGCGAGTTTTATTCCGTGCCAATGAAAACGAAAGTTGAAAATGCGGGATATATTTAAGAATAGACGATATTTGGAGTTCGTTATAAAGGTGTAATTTTATGCACATTTAACTAAATTGGGACTAAAAAATGAGTTCCTTATATGCGATAATTCCTTATAACCGTGTTCGCTATAACCGTATATTTTTATATTAAATAAAGAAGGGCAAAATTCGGGCCAAAATAAATTGTTCCTTATAACCGGAAGTTCGCTATAACCGTGTTCGCTATAAGTGAAGTTTACTGTATGTTGAACGAAATTTAGAAGCCAACAGAATCACCGAATAGTTTAAAAACAAGTCATGTGATTTGAACAAACCCTGGAAGTTACAATAACAGGTATTGTGGATATTGTATGATTAAAACTTGTCTAAGTTATTCATTTGACATGCTCTTTAACGATTCCAGAGTACACAGTGACAACTATTGTGAAATCTTAGCGCTTTAACCTGACCCACGCGGGTCAAGTTAGGAAAACACCATTTTATTCTTTATATGGAGAAAAGTCTTGTTTCTTTGACTGTTGAGTGTATTCATTTTGAGGACATTTACAGAATAATGAATGAAAAATTCAAAACTAAGAAATGAAAATTTTGCCTGTGTCTCCCTTTAACCAGTTACTGCACTAAGGTGACACTGTAGTTTATGCTTTTAGCACAAAGTGCAGTTTAGAGCAAAGAAATATTTTTTGAGGATCCAACTGCCTGGGTTACCCTGTTTTATAATTTCACTTGGTTATAGGTTTCACAAATATAGGAATCATGTTCTAATGGATGTCTACCAAGAGCCCTGGGGTCAAAATTGGCCCTGCCCTGGGGGTCATTGATTTTCCTTATATGTGTATAGCAAAAACTTAAAAAATCTTCTTTGAAAAAAACCAAATAGCTAGAGTTTAGATATTAAGCATGAAACGTCTTCTAGTGAGTGTCTACAAAGTTTGTTCAAATAACAGCCCTGGGGTCAAAATTGGCCCCGCCCCAGGGGTCATTTATTTTCCATATATGTATATAGCAAAAAGTTAAAAAAATCTTTTTTGAAAAAACTCAAATAGCTAGAGTTTAGATATTAAACATGAAGCATCTTCTAGTGAGTGCCTACAAAGTTTGTTCAAACAAAAGCCCTGGGGTCAAAATTGGCCTCGCCCCGGGGGACATTAATTTTAACTGTATGTGTAAAGAAAAAACTTAAAAAATCTTCTTTTAGAAAACCCAATGGGCTAGACCTTAGATGTTTAGCATGAAACATCTTCTAATGGGTGTCTACCAAGTTTGTACAAATAAAAGCCCTGGGATTTAAACTGGCCCCGCTTCGTGGGCCTATATACAGGTGAGCGACTTCAGGGCCATCATGGCCCTTGTTTTTCCTTTTTTCTGGAAAAAAGTGGGTTTTTCTCAGGTAATCTGTACATACAAATAAGCTTTTACTTTTATGGCTTCATGGTGGCACTACCTGTCACAAAAGGTAAGTTAACCTGTTGTGCTTATTTTGGAAAGCTGTAACTGTAAAAGTTTGTTTGTACAGTACCTACCGATTAGCTGGGAAAAACCTAAATATTCTTAATTCCCGAGTATGTGTATTAGTTGGGAAAAACTTAAAATCTTAATTCAGGAGTAAGTGTATTAGCTGGGAAAAACCTAAAATCTTAATTCCAGAGTAAGTGTATTAGCTGGGAAAACCTAAAATCTTAATTCCGGAGTAAGTGTATTAGCTGGGAAAAACCTAAAATCTTAATTCCAGAGTAAGTGTATTAGCTCAGGGAAAAACCTAAAATCTTAATTCTGGAGTAAGTGTATTAGCTGGGAAAAACCTAAAATCTTAATTCCAGAGTAAGTGTATTAGCTGGGAAAAAAACCTAAAATCTTAATTCTGGAGTAAGTGTATTAGCTGGGAAAAACCTAAAATCTTAATTCCAGAGTAAGTGTATTAGCTGGGAAAAACCTAAAATCTTAATTCCAGAGTAAGTGTATTAGCTGGGAAAATCCTAAAATCGTAATTCCAGAGTATGTGTATTAGGTAATCTTAATTCCGGAGGAAGTGTATTAGCTGGGAAAAACCTAAAATCTTAATTCCAGAGTAAGTGTATGAGCTGGGAAAAACCTAAAATCTTAATTCCAGAGTAAGTGTATGAGCTGGGAAAAACCTAAAATCTTAATTCCAGAGTAAGTGTATTAGCTGGGAAAAACCTAAAATCTTAATTCCGGAGTAAGTGTATTAGCTAATCTTAATTCATGAGTAAGTGTATTAGCTGGGAAAAACCTAAAATCTTAATTCCAGAGTAAGTGTAAGAGCTGGGAAAAACCTAAAATCTTAATTCTGGAGTAAGTGTATTAGCTGGGGAAAAACCTAAAATCTTAATTCCAGAGTAAGTGTATTAGCTGGGAAAAACCATAAATCTTAATTCCGGAGTAAGTATACGTAACTATTAGCTGGGAAAAACCTAAAATCTTAATTCCGGAGTAAGTGTTTTAGCTGGGAAAAACCTAAAATCTTAATTCCAGAGTAAGTGTATTAGCTAATTTTAATTCCGAAGTAAGTGTATTAGCTGGGAAAAAACTTAAAATCTTAATTCCGGAGTAAGTGTATGAGTTGAGAAAAACATAAAATCTTAAATCCAGAGTAAGTGTATGAGCTGGGAAAAACCTAAAATCTTAATTCCAGAGTAAGGTATTAGCTGGGAAAAGCCTAAAATCTTAATTCCGGAGTAAGTGTATTAGCTGGGAAAAACCTAAAATCTTAATTCCAGAGTAAGTGTATTAGCTAATTTTAATTCCGAAGTAAGTGTATTAGCTGGGAAAAAACTTAAAATCTTAATTCCGGAGTAAGTGTATGAGTTGAGAAAAACATAAAATCTTAAATCCAGAGTAAGTGTATGAGCTGGGAAAAACCTAAAATCTTAATTCCAGAGTAAGGTATTAGCTGGGAAAAGCCTAAAATCTTAATTCCGGAGTAAGTGTATTAGCTGGGAAAAACCTTAAATCTTAATTCCGGAGTAAGTGTATTAGCTGGGAAAAGCCTAAAATCTTAATTCCGGAGTAAGTGTATTAGCTGGGAAAAACCTTAAATCTTAATTCCGGAATAACAGTGTATTAGCTGGGAAAAACCTAAAATCTTAATTCCAGAGTAAGTGTATTATCTGGGAAAAACCTAAAATCTAAATTCCGGAGTAAGTGTATTGTCCAGCTAAGAAATAATGCTTGCCTCGACTTTTTACAGCAACTGATGGTATGCCTGTTGAGGGACGGGTGACGTACGATTATCTGAAAAGTCCGGTTGTTGAAACAGACCCTAATCCTTGTCCGCCAAGACTACAACTCACAAAACAGTCTGCCTATGATATTGTACCAGTGCCGTGCCCTGATGATTGCCTTATTATGTATCCAACTGTACCTGGTATGTAAAAGTAACTAAAAACTATATCCTAATATGTCTTGTTTGTTTGTTTCATTTTACGCCTTTTCCCAACAGTATTTCAGTCATTTAGGCGGGTAGTTTCCTAACCATCGTTCCTGGAGAGTTACACCAGTACTAGACTACCATCCTCCCCGCTAAACTACAAAAGCATCTCGCGTGGATCGAGCCCACGCCAGAGAGGTAACTGACTTAGAAGTCATTGACTCTAACCCCTCGCCCACGAGGTGGTACATCCTAATATGTGAAATATATCATGCATCTTCCCGATGTCACCAAAGGTCAGATTAACAGACCCATTCCCATTTGCAAATACGCTTATTTCCCCCAGTCTTTAACAAACGGAAATTGCCCATATCCAAACTGACAAATTTCATTGACATATGTTTCCACACATTTCATTGTCCTTTTTTTTTTTTTTTTTATTTTTTTTTAAGCTATGAATGATATTTACATTGGTTGGAATAAACAATTTGGCACAATTCAAAATTTCAAAATACTATATTCTCAGATATTTAGTCTTAATATTGTCATTTGTCTCTTACTGCAAGTTCAAATATCATGTGGGATTAGTGGTTAGTTGATTGCAGGGAAATTGGTAATTACTGGTTTGTTATCAAGGAAAGTCTGTTAGGTTGATCAATCTCCAAGATGTGTGACAAGTGGTGAACTTCCCCCCCCCCCCCAGAAAAACACTGTATTTAAATTAGGTACTGTAAAGGTATTTCATTTGGCCAGTTTTGTGTATTTGTGAAAATAAATTTACCAACAAGTGGTCAACATATCCAAAAACAGCCCTTACTGTGTTAGTAATGCAGTAGAAAAATGGTGATAAAATACTGCAAAGGCAGTCTTTAACCGCATATAACATGTAAAGTATCACTTGGACCTTGAATAATGTTTTACCTCTCTTAAAAATTTTAGTACATTTTTTCTCAATATTGATTTTCTTGAAATATTTTGGCTCATTTGGAGGCGTGAAGTTTTAAAAATCATCACCTGAATAAATTTTTTATCAAAACATTTTATGGATATTTCAGGCAAGGTTGCTTATCGTATAAATCAGACCGGATCTTATATGCTGAGCTACATGTTTCACCATGTACACCGGAACAAACTTCTACGGGGATGTGACATTCTTCAGTATCTGACGTCGGTCAATAATGCTATGGCGAGCACAGAAATATACTTCGATCCCTCAGCAATCACAGTAGTACCTGAGGAAATAAAGATGCTACAAGAAAGTCTGCCGTTCAAGGTGACCGCTTGTATTGTACACAGACTTACAAAGACTTTGAGATTTCAGCCAAGGTCTACAAACTCTGTGTGGCAAGAACTTAATGCTCGTAGAACATTTTAAAGCTCGTAAAACATTTTTTAGCGCGTAAAACATTTTGAAGCGCGTAAAACATTTTGAAGTGTGTACACCATTTTGAAGTGTGTAAAACATTTTTAATGCTGAATCGCATTGTATTATTACTAGTGTTAGATGAGTTGTTAAAGCAGCATGCCTCCAGATTCATTCTTATTTTCATGAAAATTTTGAAAATGTATTCAAAAGTAAAATATTGTGTAGTGAACAAAAACAGTAATTAACACATTGCAGTGTTGCTGTAGAAATGTAATAATTAATACAGCAATGCAAAGTCATTAATTGCACATAAAAAGTAAATTATTACTTGAATCTTTAATCTGTTTCCTTTTCTAATTTTTTTGTTACATTTTTCTCATGTTTGATTTTCTTGAAAATATTTCGGCTCAACTGGAGGCATGCAGCTTTGAAAATTGGTTTTGGGATACATTTTGAGCTGTGTCCAACAAAACCAACGTAATGCTTTTGCGACCATCATGGATCCAGACCAGCCTGCGCTTCCACGCAGTCTGATCAGGATCCATGCTGTTCGCTTACAAACCCTATTACAAGTGGAAAAACTGATAGCGAACAGCATGGATCCTGATCAGTCTGCGCGGATGCGCAGGCTGGTCTGGATCCATGCTGGTTGCAAACGCATTACGTTGGTTTTGTTGTGACGGGGCTCATTTTATACTTTTGTACAACATTTTATTAAGCACTTCATATCAATACACCTGATAATGATAAGGAGTGACCTTCAACCTGTCGAATTTATTTCATGACATTGATTATTTTAAAGGGACTCCACTGAGGCTTTTTGTCATGACATGACTGAAAATAATTTTTTTGAGATTTTTGTACTATTTAATGTAGGTCTAGACCAATAGCTTGTGTGCAATATTTCAGATCATTCGCTCACTTCCTTTTTTCGTGAATAATTAGTCTAATCATTAAATATGACTGAAAATTGAAAAACGTTACAATGTTTTTCAATCAAATTTGGCTAAGAATAGCACAAAAATAGGATTTTCTATCTATTTCCGAGTATATTTCTTAAAGCTACATTCCTCCAGATAAGTCAAAATATTTCGATAAATTCAAAGTTTAGAAAAATGTTCTAAGCTGTAGGAAAAAGTTTCAAAATTCAAGTAATATTTTACATATTATGTGTGATTAATGATTGATTTTTCAGTATTTACAACTATATTTCTACTGTGTTACTAATGCAGTAAAGGCTATTTATGCATATTTTGATCACTTTTTAGTAATTTACGTGGTTTGTAAGTGCCATTAATAATGAGTAAATTGCATTCTTTTGGTTACTACACAATATTACACATTCAAATACATATTCAAAATTTTCATGAAAATTAGCATGAATCTGGAGGTGTGCTGCTTTAATTATCTTTTGCAAATCTTTCTGTTTAAACCGCCCAAGCTGATCTATCAAAAAATTTACTATTTTGATTTTAGGCTTTGGAACCTTAGTGGAGCTCCTTTAAACATTTTTTTATTGCTTTGAATTATGGAATACTCATCTATGAATTATGCTCCCATTTTTTAACCTACAGTATAATTATTGACTACTTTAGACTAGATTTTGAGTTATTAAGACTAGATTTTGACTAACTTAGACTAGATTTTGACTAATTTAGGCTAGATTTTGACTAAACATGCCCTTTTTTATGCCCTAACTTGGATGGGTTGGAGTTGGGGTGGGGGGTAGAATGGGGCTCTTGTACAAATAGATGTACCCTTGTTCATCCATCATGCCTTTTCTTTGTCCATCTAAAGAATCACTTACTGTTCTAATGCAATGAGCAAACTGCCGTGTTCTGTGGACACAATTTTCTAGTTGACTTTAGATTTACAGTTGACTCTCGGTAACTCGAAATCCAAGGGACTGGGCATTTTACTTCGAGAGAAACGGAATTCGAGTAACGTGGATCTGCCGCCATTACGTTGACATTCCTGCATGCATATACGTCATGTGCCTGATTGAATGTGCAAAGATCGAAGTAGGTTTGTTATTGTTGATAGCGGCAATGCTACAATATTTAACCGTTGCAGATGTTTTTAATAAGCACTCATGACAATTCATTACTATAAAAGCACAATAAAACATTTATTTCAATTTATCTAATATCTGAAGTAAATTGATCATAGGACGAAAACGAAAGTAGCAACTATCATGAACCGGAAGTACATTATAATGTATGCAATATGACGGAACATTTATTATACAAATGTCATTTACGTTGATAACACACATCAATACCTAGGCCTTATTTGAGTAACACCTGTCAGACTGGCACGAGCCAACTTTCTTTTGACATTTTGGTGAATGATACTTTCGATCAGATATGGACTTCTTTACAATCAAATTAATTAAATCTTAATTTAGTTACCTGTTAAAACCAATTAAGTCCTGAAACCGATTAAAGCCCCTTTACGACGTATTAATAACACATGATGACCGGCAATTAAAATTACTATGAAACAGGTGAATCACGAGTGACAGCATCTCACCTTGATGTCTCCTATCTTTGCTCAGTCGGTTGTTTTCACACTAATTGATATGAAAATATATTGGACTTTAATTGGCTGGACCAAATTTTCTTTCGACTAAACAGGAATCTCGGTAAGTCAAAATTTGACCTAAGCGGAGTTAAAATACAAAGATAAAGAAGGAAATTTGACGGGACTTTAGAAATTCTTCGACTATCGCGGAATTTTGAGTAAAGCGATTTTGACTTATTGAGAGTCAACTGTATATTTTAAAACCTGTTTTTATTCCACTGTTTACATTCAATATTCAAGCCGAGACATTCTTTGTAACAACTTGTTTGAGAATCTTAAATAAGATTATTAAAACAATATTACCATATTTAATTTTTTTTGACTCTTGAAATGAAAATGAAGCTAATTCTGATAATATTGATTTCTATTTTAACATCAACTGGTGTAAATGCTGAAAGTTCATTGGCTATATATCAAAGGTTGTTAAATAGGTTTGGAAATATGTCAGTTTTTTTTTACATTTTAGGTCACTGAAGCAAAAAATAGATTATAAGTTTGTTCTCACCTTTAATTGGGTAAACATCTTATGGGGCTCCACTGAGGCTTTTTGTCATGAAAGGACTGGAAATATTTTTTTTCAAGACTTGTAAACTTATAATTGCAACACTTTTTACTCAAACTGGGCTGAAATTCATGCAAAAAGTTTAATTTTTAATTTAATTCTGAGTATATTTTTTCTTTATTATCCTTTGAAAAGTTTTCACTGACTGAACAGTGAGTTCAGTGCAGACCATGATCAAATGGCACGGATGATTTTGGTCTGTCCTGAGTATGACTTGGTTAAGAATCTGTTGACACCTGTGGGCTAAGTGTTAAATATTTGTAAATTTTGTAAAAATAACACTGTCCAGGGAACAATTGCATTGGTGACATCTTAACAAGATTTCATGTTTGTGTAAATTGAACGTCTTTATTGTCCCCCGCCTTTTCGAAGAAAAAAGGGGGATATAGAAATAGGCTCCATCCGTCTGTCCGTCCGTCCGTCTGTTCCGTCACACTTTCGTGTCCGGTCCATAACTTTGTCATTTTTATGAAAGGAATTTGAAATTACTTGGCACAAATGTTTATTATAATAAGACGATGTGTCATGCGCAACAACCAGACCCCTACCTCCAGGGTCAAGGTCACACTTGCTCATTCAAGGTCAACATTGCCTATTTGAGGGTATATGTCGTGTCCAGTCCATAACTTTCTTATCTATGAAGGGATTTTGTAAATACTTGCCATAATTGTTCACAATAATCAGATGATGTGTCATGCGCAAAAACCAGTCAGTTACCTTTCAAGGTCAAGGTCACACTTGGAGGTCAAATATTAACATAGTCTGTTACAGGGTATATTTTGTGTCCGGTCCATATACTTTGTCATTTATTGAAAGGAATTTGAAATAACTTGGCACACAAATGTTTGTGTTATAATAAGACGATGTGTCATGCGCAACAACCAGACCCTTACCTTCAGGGTCAAGGTCGTTACTTGCTCATTCAAGGTGAACATTGTCTATTGAGGGTATATGTCGTGTCCGGTCCATAACTTTCTTATCTATGAAGGGATTTTTGTAAAATACTTGCCATAATTGTTCACAATAATCAGACAATGTGGTCATGCGCAAAAAACCAGTCACTTACCTCAAGGTCAAGGTCACACTTGGAGGTCAAATATTAACATAGTCTGTTACAGGGTATATTTCGTGTCCGGGTCCATAACTTTGTCATTTATCAAGGGAATTTGAGATAACTTGGCAGAAATGTTTGTTATATAATAAGACGATGTGTCATGCGCAACAACCAGACCCGTACCTTCAGGTCAAGGTCGTACTTGCTCATTCAAGGTCAACATTGTCTATTTGAGCGTATATGTCGTGTCCGGTCCATAACTTTCTTATCTATGAAGGGGATTTTGTAAATACTTGCCATAATTGTTCACAATAATCAGATGATGTGTCATGCGCAAAAACCGGTCACCTTACCTCCAAGGTCAAGGTCACACTGGGAGGTCAAATACTTACATAGTCTGTTACAGGGTATATTTTTTGTCCGGTCTAAAACTTTTTCATAGATCAAAGGATTTTGAAAATACTTTGCACAAATAGTCACTTTAATAAGAGGATGTGTCATGCGCAACACCTGCATCCCTACCTCCAAGGTCAAGGTCACACTTTAGAGGTCAAAAATTAACATAGTCTGTTATAGGGTATATTTTGTGTCGAATCTAGAACTTCTTCATAGTTTCAAGGGATTTTGAAATAACTTTGCACAAATAGTCACAATAATAAGCCGATATGTCAGGTACAACACCTGCACCCCCTACCTCTTAAGGTCAAGGTCACACTTAGAGGTCAAAGGTTAACAGAGTCTGTTATTTGGTATATTTTTTTTGTCCCATCCATTACTTCTTCATAGATTAAGGGATTTTGAAAATACTTGGCACAAATAGTCACAATGATTAGATGATATTGTCATGCGTAACATCTGTGTCCCTACCTCCAAGGTCAAGGTCACACTTAGAGGTCA